AGCTTGCCGGGCTCTCTGAGAGGGGTGGAGAAATTGAACTTGGGTCGGCCATGTCAGCTGCATGCAAGGCAAATGCCCTACCCGCTGTGCTATCGCTCCAGCCCAGTTTATTCTCATGACAGGAGAAAAGGAGAGTTGAACCTGGCAGAGCTTCCAGTGACCTGCCAGTGAGGTTCTAAGGTGGGGGATGGGGGCCCAGAGGACATTGCCATCACCTGCCTCCATCGCTGCAATCCTTGCACTGAATGGGGACACCCAGGCTTTCACTCTTAAGAGGCTTTTCACAAATACCCATCAGGAATATTTTGTTAGATTGGAGTGATTGAATATTACTGTTGTAGCCAAAATAAACTACACATTTGTGTACAAGCTGAGAGCTACACTATATATATTCATTCTTGGCTTAGTTTCTACACTGAGTATAAATATATTGATTAAATGACATTAGAAAAATAGATAAAATGACAATTTATTTATAAAATATATAAAACCTTAATTCGAATAAAATATATATGAAAAGTGAAATGTTTTTATTTTACTTATGCTTCCCTCATCTGTGTCTAAAGCATCCATCTCTCTCTCCTGACCCCCTCAATCTCCCAAGTGCCCCCCCCATCCCACACATTCGTGCTCCTTTGGTTCAGATCCCTGTATTATACAGAATCCAAGTCATCACCACTCTAAGAGGCTGGGCTGGACTAAACCCATTGTGTTTTGCACAGTCTTTAAAAACAGTAGGAATCTGCACAGCATTTTTGCTCTCTCAAAGACAACTTTGTGAATTTACTTTTTTCATTCATTGGCTATAGTCCCTCAAACCCAAATCACTTAAAAAAAAAAGCCAATCATGTATTTGCCTTTATTTCCAAGAATTTATTGTAACACTGAGCTACAGATATGTTTAAAATTACTCAAGGGAGGAAAAATAATCATGACGAAAGCCACAATAGAAAAAAAAATACAAATTTTGTCCACCTCAATCTTTAAAACATAGTCCTTTATTTTTAATTTTGGGGGCTGCGCTCAAGAGACTATATGGTCGAGGACTGAACCCAGGACTCCTGAATACATAGCAGACGCTCCATCCTTTGCGCTACCTCCCTCACCCCACACATTATCACTGACTACCACAATGACACAATCCTCTGTGATATATTTTACCCTTGTTTTTACTGTTAGTGTTAAATGTAACCCTGTATCTACTATGACACATCCTTTAGGAAAAAATGAAAATAAACTGAATAAAACGACAAAGATATATTCCTAAACAATGATAGGGCAGATTCATTTCATTTCATTTCATCATCCTGTTATTCGTCGATTGCCTCGAGCAGGCCCCAGTAACGTCTCTTTCATCCTAGCCCTGAGATTATATTCAAGGCTCTTTAGGAGAATGAGACCCATCATTGTTACTGGTATTTGGCATATATGGTACGCCACGGGGAGTTTGCCAGACTCTGCCCTGTGGGCAGGCTACATTCGATAGCCTGCAAGTTTGTCCAAAGTAGGAATGAGATAATAAGATGTCATAAAAAGATGACATCTTATTATTTTTTTCTGTTTGACTGCAGATTAAATTAGGTGAACTCTAATATTTTTTCCAAGTCCAAAACTTTCAGTTGTCTCATAGTACTTCATGAACAAAGCTTTATATTATTTATACTAAAGTACTGACAGTAATGACTGAGCCCCCTGGACAGAGCAACAGGAAAATATTATAATAGAGTAATAGGCCATAAAAATGATATCTAAAAGACTAAAAATACCTAAAATCTTGAAGATTTAATGTTGGTCAAATTATATATGACAAAATACTGAGTCTGATTTTATAGTTCTACTTATAATGTGTACTTACTTTGATCTGATCATCAAAAATGCTGATTATTAAAAGTTTAGTTGGAATTACATGAGTAGATAAGATCAACCCTTTGACTCAGAATAGAATTCAGCAATAAAAATGCTTTAACATAGCTGTTGTTGAAATGCCATCTCTGAAAGGTGTCAACATGCTACATATAAATCATACCAAAGAGTACATGACCCTGTCAGCTTCTTGCCACCCAGGCATTTGACTCACACCGAAGAGAGTGGTTTTGCTCGTAAAAGTGCCTCAAATTTTATTAAATTTAAGTGTGAAAAACAATTCAAGGTGGAAATGAGAATATAGGGGAGTTATATTTCCAGAATCTTTGCAAGTCAATTTCAAAGCATGGGAATAATTCAGTTTGGTATAAAGAGTCTTGGTAAGAAATGGTACAGAACAAAATTGAACAGCACAAAGATTGTGACGGCCTATGTGTTTGTGTAAGGGAATCACAAGTCTAGACCTTAGTCTGAGGACAGTACATGAGCCAGGGGTGCATGGGACCCAGTTCAACTCCTAGCACCACATGGATCCCCCTCAGAACCACCAAGTCTTGTGGCCTCCAGGTATCACATTTCTGGGTGCTAGCACAGAATTATTTATATCACCAGGAATGACTCCTGGGAACTCTTTGGGAAATGAGAAATATAAAATGAATCTCAGTGAACTGTTTAAAAATAGAGAAAAAGGTTCCATGGAGGTAGTGTCTTGCCATGCACACAGGTGACCCAGGTTTAATGCCCAGCAGCATATATGGTCCCCTGAGCACCGGAAAAAGTGATCTCTAGCACAGAGCCAGAGGTAATCCCTGAGCATCACTGGTGTGGCCCAAAAGACAAATCAAAAATGAAAAGGGTATGATAAAAATAACAGTCACGGAGTCATTACAACAGTCAATGCTAAACTCTCAGGCTTTGTTCTGTTTGACTGCTTAAGTCAAGCAATCTTTTTCACTTTACAGTAGAAAAAGAGTTCAGTGATAACTAAATAATGGAATCAGATTCAGAGCAAAATTGTATATGTGCTCAGTTTCTGCTTTGAAACAGGGGTCTTGACCCCAGGAAGGTAGCTCACTTACAAGGAGCAGTGTATGGCTGGCATGGGGGGAACTCAGTTAAACCCTGCACCACAGGGTCCTTCAGCCTCTGCCAGACATGATCTAGGGCACTCCCAAGCCCTGCCAGGAGGGCCATGGTAGTATATGTTGGTATGGGCATTTCAAGGCTTGAGTAGCTCCACATTCATTCTAGGAGATTCATACTCTAGATTCATTCTAGGTTTATAGGGAGGATTTGTCTAACTCATCAGTAAAATGTGGGACCATACTCTGTAAATCATTTGGAACTAAGATGAGAGCTGATACAATGCTATAAGATTGGATGAGAGAGGTTGCAGATGGATTCCAGAGAGGTTATGTTATGAAAGAGAATCAGAAAGACTTGGAGACTGGGTGGATGTGTGAGCTGAGAAAGTGGGGAGGTGAAGGTGGTGAAAGTGAAGGAAAAGGACTGGGGGTAGGTAAGGACACAGCAGAGTCCGGAATGGCTGCTAAAGAAGCAAGAACTCTGGGAGGAAGTTGTGACTACAATAGAAAAGCACAGTGCTTGGGTGTGGTTCTAGATGGATCCATGGATTGAGTTCAAAATGCTTGTGAAACATTCAGATGGAGATGCTAGAAAGGAGCCTGACAAAGGAGGAGAAACAGGTTAACAGAACGGAGGGAGGCGTGCATGCCTGTACCTGAATTGCCATTGGCCCCCATCTCCATTGAGATCTTTGCTCCTGGAGAAAGTTACCAGGTTGTGATGATGTACACACGTGGGTGGCTGAGTGGGGAAGAGGAGTGGACATAAAACAAGAACTATCTCTTTGGCATACTTGGCTGGGAAATTAGGGACAAAAAATGCAACTGAGAAGACCACAAAGCACACAAGCTCACACATTTCCTGGACAGAGGACTGGCTGCCACCCGCTGACCTGCATTCGCAGTGTGCAGGTCCCATACCCGCGAACGTACTATAAATTAATAAGGTTCCATGTCGTAGTGATCACGTAGATTCTAAAGAACGCAGCATGTTGTCAAACATGCCTGTCAAACTATTCAGTCAGGGATTCTTCACAGGCAAAAATGTAGGAAATTCTTTAAAAAACGCAACAGTCCTTTCAGAAAATTTTATTTGGGATCAATTAACATCTAACTGGCTCAGTGATTTTCATCCAAAAACCAAAAGGAGGATGTGAGGGCGATCTGGCTGCGACATCTGTCACCCCATTGATCGCCAGGGTTGATCTGGCTGATCTGGCTGGCTAGGCGTGTTTCCCCTTCCTCCCTCACCGCTCCATGTGCATCCCTCATGAAGCTGCATGCTTGGTCGAAGAGGAGTCTTCCCCCAATAGGGACGGATCAGTCTTCTGTGGAGGGTATCAGAGTAGCTGCGCTCCCCTGCTAGAACCTCCAAACAAGCTCTCAAAAACCAAGAGGAAGTGAGTTTAAGTAGTATGGGAACAAAATAAGAGTGGAGACTTTGCAGCTGCTTCTGGAACTATGGTTATGTCAGCCTAATAGGATCGGAGGAATTATTCAGACAAAATGAATTATATGTTATACTTTGAGGTTCATTGGATTAATGAGTGCCTCTTTTGTCCTTAACTGTAAGTAGTGAGAAAGAACAGAGACTAATAAAATAAAGGGTTTTGGAAATATTCACAACTATAAATTTTAATTGTTGAAAATGTTAATATTTGATTTCTCAACTTTTTGCCACCTATAAAGCAAATGTAATTAATATGGGGTGTTTTTAAATGAGAAAACGTACTTCAGCTAAAAATAATGGCAAAAATCACACACATTTAGATCCCACTCAATTTTCCAAACTAATACAGGAAATGAAGATTCATTAGATAACACTATCAAATTAACCTAATTATAACTTTTTACTCATATAAAGCATGACCTTAGAGGCTTAATTATGAATAATTGACTTTCAGTATAGCTGTGGCGGTGATTAATCAATTCATTGATATTTTGCATTAAAATACTTGTAATGTCATGAAAAAGTAATATTAAATTCAGTATTAATGTTAAGAAATTCAGGATGAGTATTCAAAAGGCAGCAACAAAGAGCAAAATACTCACGATATGGCAGTTCCAGAGGATGTCCTGTCACATCGCACCATCCGCTTGGGTGGATATCAGGGCTGTCTGCGTCAGTCCAATAGTCATATTTGTGATCCCAGCCATCAAAGTGAATCTGTTAAATGATAATTAGTAACTAATATCTTAGTACTGTTGCATCAAAATACTAGAAGAAAAAAAATCTATGAAATATTTAAATTTTACTAATCATATATTTCAAATGAAACAATATTTGAAGTAAGCAATTTGCAAAGAAAATTTTCTAATTTAACCCTCACTTTCTAATTTATCCGACACGCCATTTCGTTGGTAAAGAAACAAACAGCACCCGGCCCAGACAAGGTCAGACCTGAACACCTGAAGAACCTGCCGTCAGTACTCATCAATACACTGGCTCGGCTCTTCACTCGCTACCTGTCTGAATGCAAGGTTCCGTCCCAATGGAAAACCAGCAGGACCGTACTACTGTTCAAGAAGGGAGACATCCATGACATTGGCAACTATCGCCCGATCTGCCTATTGTCTGTCATCTACAAGTTGTTCACTCGAGTCATCCTGAATAGGGTTGGCAGAACACTAGATGAAGGACAACCATGCGAGCAAGCAGGGTTCCGCAAAGGATTCAGCACCATCGACCATATCCACACAATAACCAAGCTCATTGAGGTTTCTCGGGAGTTCAAGATGCCGCTCTGCTTAACGTTCATTGATTTAAAGAAGGCCTTTGATTCTGTTGAGAGGGAAGCGGTCATTGAAGCCCTAGCCAATCAGGGCATTCAAGCCCAATACATCAGGATCCTCCGTGAGCTGTATTGCGGATTCACTACCAGGATCTCACCATTCTACAAAGAAGTGATCGTTGATGTCAAGAGAGGGGTGCGGCAGGGTGATACCATTTCACCGAAACTCTTCAGTGCCACCCTCGAGAACATCATGCGACGACTGGAATGGGAAGGAATGGGAGTGAAGATAGATGGTCGGCAATTACACCACCTCCGCTTTGCTGATGACATTGTTTTAATAACACCAAACATCAGCCAAGCGGCACAAATGCTGGCCGACTTTGACCGTGAGTGTGGAAAGGTAGGACTACAGCTGAATCTTACGAAGACAATGTTTATGAGAAACAGCCTTGTTCCTGACGCCCCATTCGCTCTCAATGGAACAACCATCTCCGAATGCAACAGCTATGTGTACCTAGGTCGAGAGGTCAACATGACAAATGACCTGGCACCCGAGCTGCGTAGGAGGAAGAGAGCGGCTTGGAACGCCTTCAAGAACGTCGAAGAAATAGCTAAGAGGACGAAGAACCTCCGGCTCCGGGCACATCTCTTTGATTCCACTGTTCTTCCTGCATTAACATATGCCTCAGAGACCTGGGCCCTACGCAAACAAGATGAGAACGCCATTCAGGTCTCCCAAAGAAGAATAGAAAGAGCTATGCTTGGAATATCACGTTTCACTCAAATGAGAGAACGAATCCGGAGTTCTGACATCCGTCGACGATCAAGGATCAGGGACGCTGTCTCATTTGCCAAGGTGTCGAAAATCAGATGGGCTGGTCACGTAATGAGATTTAAAGACGACCGTTGGACTAGAGCTGTTACTGATTGGATTCCACGGGGGGAATGGGGGTTGGGGGGGATGCTGGGACCCGTGGTGGGGGAGGATGGGCACTGGTGGAGGGATGGTTACTTGATCATTGTATAACTGAAACCCAAGCACAAAAATTTAGAAGTCTATAACTGTACCTCATAGTGTTTCACTAATAAAAATAAAATAAAAAATAAAAAAAATTTAAAAAATCTGTAAATGACACATAATAAATTGACTGGATAAATCTATTTTTCTCGGATAACCTATTTTTTCTCTATAATGCTAAAAATTTCAAAGTCCTGAAAAATGAGGAGAGATGGAATTACTGAAACAAAGAGGTGAGAAAAATGACAAATGCACTGCTGACACAATAGATTGCAGTAGTGATCCGAATAGCTGCTCATGCCATTAAACTTTATTAGTAGCTATTAAAGTAAAATGTGAAAGTTATGAGGAAGTCCTCTGAGGAAGTTGTATGGGAAGGTTTTAACAATTCTAACGAATACTATTGTTTTTCATATTATTTACAAAATACAAGGAGGTGCACACATATACACACAGCCAAACATACAGGTCTGACAATCACTGAAATGAAACCCAATTTCTGAAACAAAAACCAAATAACTATTTCTGAAACTTTTTATTTTTATTTTTTTTATTATTTTTTCTTTTTTTTATTAGTGAAAAACCATGAGGTACAGTTATAGGTTTACAAATTTTGTGCTTGGGTTTCAGTTATACAATGATCAAGTCCCCATACCTCCACCAGTGCCCGTCATCCATCCCCATGGGTCCCAGCATCCCCCCCACCCTCATCCCCCCCCCCGAAACTTTTTAAACCCCAAGTTCTAGATAGTTCAATGTTGGGCTTTTCATTAGTACTGAACCAAACAAAATATATGAGGGGCCAAAGAGATAGTACAGCAGGTAAGATATTTTCTTGCATGTGGCTGAATATTCAATTCCTAGCACACACTGCTCTATCTGGTACACTGCTAGGAGTGGTTCCTGAGCACAAAGCGAGGAGTGATCCTTGAGCACTTATGAGTGTGGTCCCCCAATTATATATTGGGGGTCGGCCATGTTGGCTGCATGCAAGGCAAACGCCCTACCGCTGTGCTATCGCTCCAGCCAATTATATATATATATATATATATATGTATATATATATATACACATATACACACACATATATAACATTTCAGGATTATTCAACTCTCTTTACTCTCATTTTCTATCAGTTAACTGAGAAACTACCCTTCTCAAATCAGAAAATGCCTTTTAAATTCATACTCTGCATAAAAGAAATAAAATTGTTTTGCATTTATAATAAAACAAATGAAATAAAAACCTATGATTTGTCTGTCACTGTCACTGTCTTCCCATTGTTCATCGATTTTCTTGAGTGGGCTCAGTAATGTCTCCATTGTGAGACTCTGTTGTTACTGTGTTTGGCATATTGAATACATCATGGGTAGCTTGCCAGGCTTTGCTGTGCAGGCGAGATACTTGCTGGGTAGCTTGCTGGGCTCTCCGAGAGGGGTGGAGGAATCAAACTCGGGTTGGCCATGTTGGCATGCAAGGCAAACACCCTACCCACTGTGCTATTGCTCCAGCCCATGATTCTTCAGGAAATATAAATTAAAAATTAAAACTTATTAAGTTTAATAGGACCAGAACTTTTTATTTGAAGATTCATATTTCCAAGCAACTGTTTTCCCCAAAGTGTGATTCCCAGATTCTCAGACCTGAGCATCAGTATCACTTGGGAATATGACACTGTGGGTTTTAGTTGATCTATTCTTTAAGTCTTGGGTCTATGGGATGTACTCTGAAGGAAACCACCATTTAAAAAAATTTAGTCACCAAAATCAAATTCTAGTATTCCAACTAAATCCTACTATATCAAAAACTCTAAAGGGTGAAGTCTAAACAAATATGAATGGAGCCAAATCCTTTTGATGCAGCTGACATATGCCAAAGTTTGAGATCTTAAGAGTAACATTCAAAAGAATATTTCTATCAGGCTTACCCTTTTGAATATGGTAGTGTCCTTAACTACTAAATTAGATAAGATAGATCTAAGAAGAGGAGGATCCAGAACTAGGAGGATTATTCACAACACGTAGAGCTAGGCTGAAATCCACCTGTGCCCTTCCTTGAAAGTGAGACTTCAGAAGTTCAGGTAGAGAACAGCTAATAGGAGGCTGAGAGTAAAATAAAGACACTATAGATCATACATTACTATGAGAGTAGGAAGACCAAAGTGGAGAGACTCGTTCAATTTTGAGAATTTGAGTTACTAAAGTGATTTCATGCTTGGAGTAAGAATCATATTCTATAATAATGGCTTCTTAAGAAAAAGCCCTGGAAATTGCTAATATCAAGTGCAAACAACAATTAGAACAACTGTAATTTTAACTTACATATATATTTATTAAAATTTAAAACCCATATTTTTACTGTTTTTGCTTTTTTGTTTTTTTTTTCATTTTTCACTCAGCAGTGCTCACAGGGCTTGCTCTTGAAACTAGTAATGTTGAAAGCTCAGAGATCACTCCTAGTGGGGCTCAAGCCAGCATGTGGGGTGCCAGAGATCGAACCCTGATCAGCCATGTGCAATGCAAGCACCATATGTGCTATGCTACCTCTTTACTCCACAAATGTTACGTCTTTTGGTATCTAACTATGAGTTTTAGTGGGAATATTCTTTAAGTCTTTGGGTCTATGCAAGGACACCACTATTTATTTTTCTTTTCGGGTCACACCTGGTGATGTTCAGGGGTTACTCCTGGCTTTGTGCTCAGGAATCACTCCTGGCAGTGCTCAGGGACCATATGGGATGCTTGGAATCAAACCCGGATCAGCTGTGTGCAAGGCAAATGCTCTACCCGCTGTGCTATCACTCCAGCCCCGAGGACACCACTATTTAAAAAGCATTTTGTCACATGGTTGACAAAACAGTTTATGATAGGGTTCCATGTATACAATATTCCAAACCCACACCTGAGAGTTCATTTCCCGCCAAACTGTCTCAGGGTTCTCTCCTGAAAACTCCCCCACCCACATCACCAACTTCCTTCAGTTATGTAGACCAATTCTCAGGATCTGTTTTCTTTGACCACTTGTTATTTCTTTCTATGTTTCTTTTAAAAATTCTTTAATTTTTAAACAATTTTAGTTGGGGTTCTTTGGTTTAAAATACTATTAATGTTTTTTTAAGCACATAATTCTAACACCACACCCATTCCCAGTGCACCCATCTCCCTTCCCCAAAGAACCCTAAAATCTCTCCCTTTTTTTCCCTCCTAATGTGTGAATCGATAAAACCTCTTCCTTTTTTTCCCTCAATCTGATGTGTGAATCAGTTCTCTCGCTCAATTTATTGCCATTGGGCCTTCCTTATTACCTTACTGTGCATCGTTAAGTCTCCCATATGTTGGCACAGTAAATCCCCATGAATAGTTAAAGCAGTCTGTGAGGAAAAAGAATATAGGAGGCATCAAACCCAACTTCAAA